CACTATGTAACCCAGACTGACCTCGAACTTGCAGCAATCTTCCTGCCTCAGCCTCCTGAGTGATGGGATTACAGCCATGCACCACCATGCCATCCTGCCATCTATGAATAATAAATTGGCTTTACATAACTTGCTGTATATGAGTGTGTCCCATCTCACAGGCTCACACAAGTTGGTAAGTGGTAAACCTGTTCTGCAGGACTGACACTGTGAGTGGGGTCTGGTCTAAAAGACTATGGCTGGGAGAAGAGATGCACCCCGTGCTTGGCCCAAGGTGGAGACATCGGCCTGGGAATGCAGCAGCTGGATGACTTGTGGGGAACTACTGAATGGTGCTAAGCAGGAACCAGGTCACCCCTGGACAGATGTTAATAGAATGAGATAGAGAAAAGAATATGGGAATAGAGCAGCATGGCACAAAATCCCCTGGTTGCTGGGCACACACATGATCATTCATTCCTGGGCCAGGGAGCTCAGGAGTGGGTGGTCGGCTGGATCCTGAGGCATCTGAGAAGGAACTAGAAAGATATCTTCAGACGGTCCCTGCAGTATCTGAGAGGAAACCAATATTCGTTCACTACTTTGGTCTCCACAGAGAGGAAGACTCATTACCTAAAGAGTCAGGCAGAAGGACAGACATGAGCAGGGCTGGAACACCCCCAAACGCAAGCAGTTTCCTGCAAAAAAAAAACCCTAAAACTGCTGCTCTCAACATTCCTCAATCCTGCGCTCTCCGCCGACGCTTCTTTTCTCCTAAATCGACAGCTCGGTCATTGAGGATGCCAACATAGGTCCAAGAAATTGGTAAGGACCTGCAAGACCTTAAAGTGACTCAAACCACCACGGACAAAAAAGCCGCAACTTCACACACCCGAAGTTTAAGCGTACAAAGCGTCAGAGCGCTCCTGGACTACAACTCCCAGAACTCCCGGGAATCCGTGCGCGTGACAGAAATACGCAGGATTCCAGGGAGCATCTGGACTACACTTCCCACAATGCCACAGAGGAGCTTGTCTCGCTGTCAAGAGGTATTGGGCAATGTGGAAGATTTAATTGTCTTTACTCTTACCTCAAGTCTTCAAAAGAAAATGTCTCATAGATAGCCCTTCTTGAAGTGCAAATGCTTTAAATTCTCTAACAGGACTGTAGCTGGAAAGGGAAAAAGTGAGGAGATATAATCTTCCAGGAATTAACAGGAAACGACTTTCGAGGTCAGTGGATGTCTGAAAGGAAGCTAATATTCGCTATAATCTGAAGTGACGAGGCTAACACTGATAGTATAAAGAATGGGGGTAGAATGGCATCTAAATATAGTTTTTAAGAATGCACATTTCTGTTTTGTAAAAGAAATAGAACATCGTTTTATATTTCCCAAGGCCCATTTTTATATATTTTGTAAATTGTTCAAATTGTTTGCCGATTTTCCCTCAACATTTAAGAATCATTTATGTATTCATAAAATTATTCTTTTTTCCTTCCTAATACTTTATTTTTCTTTTGACTTTACAGTATTTCCCTTTGCCATAGAAAATATTTTAACATGATGTTATTTTTGAGGTGTAATTCACAAAACAAAATTATCCATTTTAAAATGCACACTTCATTGACAATGACATCCCTAGTACATATGAAAGCAACACTTCTTAAGTTTCAAAACATTTCCATAGTGAGGCTGGAACTTTCAGCCCACCCATCTTTAGGAAGGGAAAGAAGGGCTGCAGGCAGATTGAATTCGGTTGTAATGGCAAATGATTTCATCAGTCATGGTTACATAATAAAATTGCCACAAATATCCTTTTACCAGGGTTCAGAGATCTTCCAAGTTGGTAAAGGCATCCAGGTTTCCACCCTAGACAGGGAATGGAAACTCTCAGTGCCGCCCACCCCCAACATCTAGACTTATGCATCTCTTCCATGTGGCCATTCCTGAGTTTTGTCCTTTATAATAAAATTAGTAATACCAAATTAACTGTTGCCCTAAGTTCTGTGATTTGTTCTAGGGAATTAGGAATTTGATGAGAGCCACTTGGTCAGGAGATATAAAAATTGAGTCTGAACTGGAAGCAGTTTTGTAGTACTGAGCCCTTAACCTGTGAGATCCGAAGCTAACTTCAAATACTTACTGTCAGAAGTGAAGTTAATTTCTTGACACCCAGTTGGTGTCAGAGTTGGAGAAATGGTGTAGAAAGCCCCTCTGCTTTTGGTGTCGAGGTGTTGAGAGTAAAAGTGAGAAGCCCAAAATAAATGTCCTCGCAAATGACAACTCTGAGTGGATCTCAGAGAATGTTATTCCCCATTACAATTGTAAACACCCCACAGGGTTACAGTAAAGAAGGTCTGAAGGAATTAAGATCCTTTTTTTTTTTTTGGTACCGGGGATCGAACTTGGGACCTTGTGCTTGCGAGGCAAGTGCTGGAACCACTCAGCTAAATCCCCAGCCCATAAGATCCACTTTTAATGATATGGTGGCAAAGGGATACTCACATTATTTTTTCTTTCAATGGCCCCATTTGGCCTACCCTTACGACAAATAAAAATGAATGGTGCCGTACTTCAGAGGACCAAATCTCAATGTGTGCTATCTCCAATTAAGGGCCTTACAATAAATGAGATTAATAGTTATTGACCTGTTTTATTCTGACCTCAATTCTCTAAAATCAAAACCACAATTCATGTTGCTTTTGAAGGACCCCAATGTAAATGCACTTTTTTCCTAAATCTCTGTAGCCTACCATTGCTCAAAACTTATGCAGACAGGACACTCAAGGGCTTACTGTCCCAAGCACTGATGATACTGTGCTAAGAGGAAAAATTTATGAAGCCATCATAGAATACATTAGAAATGTTTACCAGAATTTGGCCATGGCTGAGCTATCATGACTCACAATGTCCAGTGTCCTACTTCTCTCAAACTTGGGGGCAAAATTTGGCCGGAGGAAAGCAGCTGTATGCCATAGCCAGCGAAGCAGTATTTGCTCTCTTCATTCCCATTTCTTTCAAACAACCCCAATACCTACTTATCCTATTTGGCTGGTAGTGGCAACAATTCCTTCTTTAGTCTTTAAAAACCTTTTGTAAATTTACTAAATATATTGGGTCAACTTGGCCAACTTGCTCTCTCTCAAAGATCAAGAGATTGTTGTGCTAACCCAAATATCAGGGGCGAATTGTGAAAATAATAGGAAACTTGGACTTTGTTTTAGCGTACTGGCAACTGAACCCAGGGCCTCATGCATACCAGGCAAGTGCTCTACCATCGAGCCACACCTGCTCCTGGACTTTTAGTGTGAACAACCCATAAGCTTCATCTCCTTCCCAATCCTGATAAGGGTCACCCACCATCCCCCAAGTACGTGTGCCCTCCAACTATCTTTTAGACTTCCTGCTGGCAGGACCTCCCCTCTATACAGTGCCTGAATAATGACTATTCTTTACTTGTCCTGGACCTTGTCCTGGACAGCAACCACCATCCTTTACCTTTCTTTGATCATCCCTAAAGACTACCATCATGATTTTTGACATCCAAACCTAAACTTGGAGTTTCTCCATGTCATAGTTGAATTGCTATAATAGGTATATTATATGTTGGCAAGGAAAAAGAAATCTTTTGCAGAAGACATGATTGTCTACATAGAAAACCCCAAGGAATTCATAGAACACCCACTTAAACTATTTGGTTTGGCAAGGCTGTAAAAATACAAGTTTAACATAAAACAGTCATCAATATTTCCACATACTAGTAATAAATAAATGGAAATTGAAGTTTGAAAAATAGTACCATTTAATTTAGCCCCCAAAAACATGGAATTCTTATGTACAAACCTAATAAAATATGTACAGTATCAATATGCTGAAAAGTATAGATTTTTGATGGAAGAAACCAAAGGAGTCCTAAACAAATTATACCATTTCTATGGTTGGGAACATTCAATACTGCTACATCAATTGTCTCCATACTCATTTATGTATTAAATGCAACCCCAAGAAAAATCTCAAGAGTTTATTTTAAAAATCAAAAGCTGATTCTAACAATTACTAAAAGGCAAATTAAGATAGCCAAATTAATTCTGAAAAAGAATGGGTCTGGAAGACACATTGTTAACTTTGAGATACTAAAGCTACAAGAGCCATAGTTGTGCAGTATTTGACCAAATAATAGGTGCAAAGACTAATAGAACCAGGGGTCAGGGAGAAAAACCCTACACACTGGATTTTTCACAAAGATGTGACAGCAATTCAACCCTGAAAGATATTTAAGAAGCTGGAGTCCTGGGCTGGGGGTTTAGCTCAGTGGTGCTGCTGCCTGCCTCGAAAGCGAAAGATCCTGAGTTTGATCCCCAGTGCCAAAAAAAAGCAAAACAAAACAAAAACCAAGAAGCTGGAGCCCTGAACATCCATACTGGGAGGAAGCCCAAACTCACTGTGCAGAGGCCCACTTGGAGGGGTTCCAAGAGCACATAAGGAGAGAGATGTCCCAGGCCTAGCCACTATGTAACCGCAACTGAGAGCTGAACAAACTATCTGAGCCTCTCCCCCAGTTTTCATGAGAGAAAAGATTGTTGTCTTGAGACAGGAGAAAGAGAGCGCAAGAGAGAACAGTTAATTGGACGTCCATATGCCAAAAAGGGATCCTGACCTCATACCCTATAAAAAGATTAACTCAAATGGATTATAGTCCTAGATGTAAAACTTGAAACTTTAAAATTTTAATTAAAAATCTTGGATAAGAGTTCTTACATCACAAACTAGAAAGCATAATCCATTGAAGACAAAAATTGACCATCAAAAATTTAAAAACACAGGCCGGGGACTTAGCTCAGTGGTGCCACTGCCAGTCTCGCAACCACAAGGTCCTGAGTTCGATCCCCAGTACCAAAAAAAAAAAATT